TTTTAAAATAGTGTGTAGTCACCTGCTTGTAAATAAAGCTGATGAGAGTCTTAGACAGCCAGTCTGACTTGAATTGCTAACAATAACTTAATTATAAAACACAGTGTTAATGCGGATCTCTAGTACAGTACCACTCATATTTAAGAAATTCTGCCTGCTCAAGCTTCCTTTTGCATCTGCTATGAACTGTCAGAAGAGACAGCAGACAGAGAAAACAAAGTAAAGCAGTGGTATATGTAAGGAAAACCAACCCAACCCATGAAAACCAAAAGTGTATAAAGGGATGTTCTCTTTAAAGAAAGAACTAGATCATGAAGATCTGGGAAAATGAGGATAAAAAGGCAATACGGTGTACACACACAGAGTCTGATGCTACATTTTCCACTTGTGAAAAAATGTTACACGAAGTGTTAAATGGTGTTAAGGAAACTGAAAAAAGCAATTGAAGTTTATCCAGCAGAGAACATTGTCCAGTCTTCCTCACCAGAATCTCCTTGAAGAAGATTTTAGCCAGTACTGCAGGACCTAACTGGTTTCGCTCTTTTTGGAGCTCATCAGCTGCAGGTAACGGCTGCAAAACAAAATGAGTGCACAAAACCACAAACAGAGCAGAACAATGTGCTAAAGGAAGAAACCTTCTGCATTGTAAGGCATGCTTTTGTAATCCAAGCACATTTTTTTCTGAATGGCTGTGTCTTGAATGAAAAGTGGCAGCAAAGCTGTTCTTTCACACCAGAAATTAAGAATATTGCGCTAAAAACTGAAGATTACTTTCCTCCTCCCAAATTGTCACAGTATCTGTATTCTACTAACTCTGGCAAAAAATAACTCTAGTTCTGTGGTCTTGGACAATGTAACCATGTTAAATATTTGAATATAGATCCTATCCGATTAAGACCAGTTTAATTTAGAAGTATTACCTACAGTTAACAAATACACTAGGAAACAAAATGCTTCACTCTGCAAGAGCAGCTAAAGTCCTGTTAATCTCTCATCAACTTCACTGAATCTTTGAATTTATCAACAGATGGAAAAATCAGAAGGTAACATACTAAGTTTTAGTGGAGTCAGCTGAAGTTTGAAATTATGGTGCACATCTGTAAAGAAATTTTAAAACTTCCAGGAACTAATAAGTAAGGCTAAGATTGTCCTCAATTATGTAAAAAAGTAAAGAACAACACAATAATTGGAACTTAAAATTTTGGCAAGATCACTGATTGTTCTATCAACCTTCTTTGAAAAGGAGAGATCAGAGACAAAAAACACGAGCAGATAAGATGATAGTAATATTAGCTACAATATGTAGTACATGGACAGAGTCCACCCTGAATTCATTAAGTAGAACTTCCAGAGGACAAACAACGCCATATGCCTCAGGAGTTCATTAAAGCCGTTCTGAAACCTGGTCCTAAATGGTGTCCTAAACAGCTCCTTGAGTTACAATTTATTGTCTTTGAGTAATTTCCACAAACAATTAGGTAAGAGCTAAAAACTGCTGACTGCATTTTTCAGAAGTGGTAATTATTAGCCAGCATTCACCTCAGCACGAAGTGGGATCAGATGGCCCCAGAAGATAAAACAAGCCAACACTGTAGCATAATGTATACCTTTCTGAATCACTAGAGCACTTGATGTAGGGACTGCATTTGAAGTTTCTGTGTTTAAAAACTGTCAGGAAACAAACTCAGATTAAGCCACACAGTGGTAAAATCTGTGAGAGCAAACCCACTTTTAAATCATCCAGGGACATCAAAAGTGTTTGTAAAAAGTGCTTATTGTGTGTAAAACATAGTTTTAAGAGCAGAATAAAATAACTGGCAACATTTCCAATTCTATTCTGACTGCATGGCAGATATTAATAGTTCTCAGCTGCAGAAAATGCAAATTAACTTGAAAAGTTTGAATGTTTTATTTAGTACACATGAAATAAGAACTGGAGTTCTTATGTGCAGAGGTGAGTTCACAGTATGCAGTGTGGATATTCCAGAGCTGCAACCTTAATGGAAATTTTAGTACTACCCTTTTCATGCACTGATGAAACAAAAGTGATCTTAAATGCAACAATAATAAAGCCTTTCTAGCTTATTTCAAGCTTTATAAACTACTACCAGTTATTTCTCCAAGCATGTATTCCATGAAGTCTTTTCAAAAGAATGAACCTCAACTTCACACAAAGTTTTTTAAAAAGGAAAAAAAAAATCCTACATAAAATCCATACACTTCTTTTTTCTTCTTCCTTTGACTACTACCTACCTTCTTTTTAGAGGAAGATGAACAGGATAGCGGAAAGCTGGAACAAGTAGTGAAAGATAAGAGTTGAGATTCATAGCATTAGAGAAAAAAAGGAGATCACAAAATAAGTACCTGAGAAGCAGAAGATTGGAAAAATGAGTACCAGAATAACATTTTTTCAAAAGAAGGCAAATTAAGTACAATTCAACAACACTCCAAAAAATACTCAGCAAGCTGTGTTACATTTTTGTATGCAGTGCCACCTGAAAACAAACAGGACACACAATCTTCAATGCTCTAATCAAAAATTAATAGCTTATTAAAACATTATTTCTAGAACATGTAAAATTTTCAAATTAGAAGAATCACAGTTTTCATAAATATTTATAGTAAACAAACTGGAACATATGATCAGCAGAAAAAGCATCTGCAACTGATCTTTTGAAAAGTCGGCATAATGGTAAAGTGATTCTGCTACTGTACAACCTGAGACTCTGCTTAGCAACTTCAAACTTTGTGATACCTCCTGCTTAGACTTAGGTTTCTTTTCACTGCTCTGAACTCCAACGTCCTACCCTTGATGACTTATTGCACTCTTCATGCTTACTAATTAGTGGGAAGCTGAAGGGTAACTCATGAAGCTGCTTCCCTAATCTCAAAAGATTACAGGTAAATACTATGCACAGTTCAGTCAACTACTTTAAGTAGCTTGTGAAAATCCTCTGGAAGATCCTTATGTCAGTATGTAAGAAAGCTAGGAAAGCTGGTAAGCTATGATAGTGTTACAAAAAGGGAATTATACTTTCATATTCTTAATTCAGCTAGTTTTTATTCACACGTCATGTACCTATATACTCAATACTTCAGTAACAGACTTGTGAGCTGATGAACAAGCACTATGATCTATATTGTTCACTAATTCTCAAACTTGATCCTCATTTTAGTGAAGCATTGATTCTTAAACACAAAGGCAAACACCCTGTTTATAACATTTATTGCATTTCTGTTATTCACAGGTTCATTCTGATCTTATGTCAACTCTTTCAGTTTTAACTAACCACTCCCTTCCTAGTTGTTTAGTTTTGTGTAGTTTCTTGCCCAGCCAACAGAGCACAAAGTATGGTACTGGTCACAGACAGAGAAGCTACTTACAGATTAGACAGAGAGCAGGATACATTCACCAGGATTTTTATTTTTATTTTTTAAAAGGAAAAAGAACAAGTAGGGTGTGGAAAAGTGCAGCTTCCCTCTACAAGTATTTTTTGGAATCTCCTATCTTTGTCAAAACTTCCTTGAATTGTGTACAACTGGTGGGTCTTCTGAGAGTATTCTAAGAAATATTTTCATTAGCACCTGTAAGCACCATAGGAAAACCCACTGTCATAAAAAATTATGTAGTAACTGAAGATCTACCATGTCAGATAATCAATTTCTGTCCCTAAACCAGTATCTGTATCTACTTCTCCCAGTGCTCATGAAAAAACTCCCTTTCCCTCTTCACCAACCAGGAGGCTGATTCCTTTTTCCATCATTTTTCTCCCTCTCCTTCTCTTTTAGTGTTGCACAGCTAGAAAGAGTTAAGGTTTTCTGTATAACTGCAAGATCACTCTTACATAAGAGGGACCCACTTTCCAGAATTCCAGATAAAAACTGGAAAAAGAAGAACTATAAAAACTAAGTAAGAAGACTATTGCAATTTTGTAGTCATTCTTTACTCTCTTACCTTTCCCGTTCTCCTTCAACCCATATTGGCCAACCTCCTACAGCAATGCAGAAATCCAGAAAAAAGAAGGAAACAGAACAGCATAATAGAGAAGAAGCTTACAGATGTTGACAGTATAGCATATAATAGCAAAAGAGGAGACAGAACTACTTATAATGAAAATTCATTTTTAAAAGAACAAGCTATGGTAACTTCAACAGTTATGTGTTTAGGAAAATACACTGTAAAAGGAGCAGAGAGGAAAAAAAACAAACCCACAACCAAGCAGAACATGTTTCCTGGACAAACAGGAAACCTGTTACACTTCTGCCCAAATCAAGAGAGCAGAAAATTGCCTGATGTCCTGAACTGTTGATTATGAGCAGAATTTATGGAGGACTATCTAATTCAGGGCAGCAGGAAATGAAAGGGTGGAGGAGGCTTCTAATTAAGAAACAGATTGAAAGAAGTCCTAGCAGAATAGCATTTCTACAAACTGTGTTAAAAAGAATATAGGTAAAGGTAAATTTCTGAAAATATCTTGATGGCTACTTTTAAAGGCAGAACAGTAAAAATAATTGCAAGCATTAGGAGTTTCACTGATGTTACAGAAAATTATTAATTTGAAATTATTTACATCAGGATAGGATACTTAAAAGGTTATTCTCTCCTGAGCCTATTTCTTTACGTCACTTTTAAGCTGACTCTCCCACTGTAGAAGCCAAAATGTTTCTGATGGAATGAATACTCACAATGAATGCTGATGTTCATTAGAACTCCTACAAAACAAACTTTTTTGGAACCCATGTCTCCATTCTGAAAGTTTCATCTTTTTAATTCAAATTAAAATGCATGCAAGTCTAAAACCAGACAAGCCCATTTTACAGAAAATTATTATACTTTTACAAAACCTGTAGAGAGAGGTAATTTACATTTGGATGAAAGTGAATATATCCAGAAATATGTCTATAAGATGACTGGACTTTCCCTCTTCTACAGGATACTTCTTATAGAATTTATGACAGAAGTGATTTTCAGTAAGATATAACCACACACACACACATACCTCGTACTCTTTCCTGCAGACCTTTAAAACATCATTCTTTACAGATGCCTGAAAGACAGATAAATTTCTCCATTTGTAGTAGAAAATAAGAAAACCTTGTTGAAAAATTAAGATTATTCTACCTTTCTACTAATGGAAAAACCATGGAAATGATGTAACAATAATAAGATTAACAGAATTGCATAGGACACTGCAATAAATTGAAGTGTTTTTATCAGGTCTGGAGAACACCTTGAACATTTGAAAACTTTGCAAAAAATACATTTGGAAACAGATATATTTGTCATATTTTCAGAAGATAAGAAGTACCCAGTATGTTTACTCACACCACACCTCTTCTCTACTCTACTCATTTTGTATACTTACTGCTCAGCTCTTGCCAAACAGTTCTAACTACATGCTTTAGAATGAAGGTGGCACATCTATTTTTTTTTTTTGCATGACAACAACTTGTAGTAGGCTGCTGGTACAAGACTAAAATTACTCAGGTAAAATGCAAGATACTACAACAAATATTAAGTACATCGGTGCTCCAGAACTGAGTTACAAGTTGACTTTGAAGATTTAAAAAAAAAAAAAAATCACAAAATGCTTTACAGATATGTAATAGAGAGGTCATTGCTAAATTTATGTATTATGCTTTAAATTGTCACTTGACAAATATAGTGACACAGTAAAACCCAAAACAACTGTTTTCCATCTGATGAACAAAAACCTCTTAGAAGAGGCCTAAAAATCATTACAAAAACATTACACTGAAAAGACAGAGCTTAGAAACAGCCACAAACTGTCTTCCACGCAGCATTATTTTAAAATAACAACTTTGATGTAGAGATTGCGACCAAAAGAACCCCAAAACCCAATAAATTTACTTTATCATAACCAAAGAGAGCTTCATAATCTTTATGGATTTAATCAACAAGACTATGAAGTAACAAACCAGTGCATATCAGTAATAAACACACACCTACTATTTGCAGAGCAAAACTAAGAGGATTAGCTCTGATTGTCAAGTGCTGCCTATAGCTAGCTTGCCAGGTCTCACACTGGAACTCCTGTGGTGCCAAAGCTATAAACATAGTAAGATTTCACCTTAAGTGTATCTTCATCACTGAGTAATGAAAAGTACCATCAGAATGTACAAAAAAGGCACAAATAACCCTAAGGTCTTAACATTTCTTCTTCAGGCTCATGAAGTTACAGCAAGCAGCCTAGTCCTACAGCACAGTTAAAAGTACATACTCAAAAATATCCCCCCTGAAACAAACACAGGTTTTTTGTTTTGGTTTGTTTTTTTTAAACTACATTTTCATCTCATACTTTTTACTTAGAATTCACTTAGAAACCATGAATGATGTATTTTGGTTTTTGGAAACTGGTTGCTGGCATTTATCACCAGTAGCACTTCCTGGGAATTACCTAGTCATATTATGTAAATTTAAAGAGAGTTTACAAGATAATTTGCTTTTGATGTAAAAAATGTATTAAGCCTGAACTTCACAAACAGTAATACATATAAATGAATTCAACATGGCACCATTTAACATTAACCACATAAAAATAATTAGAAAGCCTTACCTGTTTACATGCTTGTCGACATTCCACAGCAATAGCTAGCTCACAGCAACCTAAACCAACCCACCCATCAGACTTCTTCAAAACTCCTTTGAAAATAAGATGACAGTACATATTACAGTAGAAAGAGAAACACTGTTATCGTTCTCCCTTCTCTCCCTATGAATTACTTTTCAAACTTTATATTGTCCTCATTGAAGAAGTCTATTTACAGATTACATTTTTATTAGAATTTACTTCACAAACAGTAATACATATAAATGAATTCAACATGGCACCATTTAACATTAACCACATAAAAATAATTAGAAAGCCTTACCTGTTTACATGCTTGTCGACATTCCACAGCAATAGCTAGCTCACAGCAACCTAAACCAACCCACCCATCAGACTTCTTCAAAACTCCTTTGAAAATAAGATGACAGTACATATTACAGTAGAAAGAGAAACACTGTTATCGTTCTCCCTTCTCTCCCTATGAATTACTTTTCAAACTTTATATTGTCCTCATTGAAGAAGTCTATTTACAGATTACATTTTTATTAGAATTTATTAAGTCATTCCAGACCAACTTTTAGCAAGAAAGGAGCAAATCTATGCCTTAATAAATGCTGAACCTGGCGGTTATGAAGTACCTCCTACACACTGATCTTAAAGATGCTTTATACAAACTATTTAAAATGTTTTATAATTTTATTTATCTGAAATACAAGCCAACAGACACCTACAGGGAAAAAAAACCTCATTAAAATTAACTCCTACAAACACATCCTCTTGTTGGTTCCAACAGCACATTCTTTCCTACCACAGGAGGGCCCTCAGAGTGGACGCCGCACTCTGCTGGTTGGTCCACTGTCTAGGAAGTGCTTGGGTCTCTGGCAATATGCTGGGCACACACCTCAGAGCCAAAACAAGTGTCACTACAGAGAAAGCCTCTGAGTTGGCTGAAGCATCCACCCAGACTGAACTGGTAATGAAGGAGACTTAGTGCAGGTGATATACTGCAGGGAGAACAAGGACTACCCTCCTGGTCAAAAGGCAAGTACCTGCACAAGGTGTGCACACTGTAATGATCACCTGCAATCATGTGATGACCACTTCAGGTGGCTGAGCTGCAAGGAACAGTTAAAGGGCTCCACAGTTTTAGTGGGTCTGAGTTAGAGATTGACAGGTGGCTCTAAAACCATGTCCCTGTAGAGGACACCACTGAGAATGAGGTACCCTGGACCCTGGTGACTCACAAAAGCAGGACTCAGATTCAACCTCCACCTTCCAGAATCACTATGAAACCAGATACGAAGCCTTAACTCCTGTGGAAACCAATCAGCAAGGGCTGCAAGGAGTAACTGTACCAGCACACAATGAACACCATAAAAAGACGAGTGCTTGTAGGCGGTGACTGTTAAAAGGCAGTGAGGTGCCCATCTGCCAACAGAGAGTCAGGAGAAGTCTGCTGCTTCAAGCCAAGATCAGAGATGCTGCCAAGAGGATACAAAAGCTTGTAAAGAGCACAGACTATTACCACTATTACTCTTTCATGTGGGCATGAATGTTACCCCTTCTGAAGACTGGAATGACATTTGCTTTCCTTCAGTCCTCAGGCACCTCTCCTGTTCCCCACAACTTACCAAAGATGGAGAGTGGCCTAGCAGTGACGTCCACCAGCTCCCTCAGCATCCACAGGTGCATCCCATCAGGTACCCATGGATTTATGGATGTCCAGATTGCTTAATTAACCCAGTCTTCATCAACCAAAGCAAACTCCTCCTTTAGGAATCAGGAGTTTAGTCAGGAAGGCCCCTGACTTCCTCTGGGGCTCCTTAGGACATTGTCCAGCAGTACAGACAGACGCAAAGAAGGCAACCAGTAACTCTGCCTTCTTTGTATCCTCTGACACCAGGGCACCCACCTCATTCAGCAATGGGCCTATATTGACTCTACTGTTAGTTTTATCTGTAATGTATTTCAAGAAGCCCTTTCTGTTGTCCTTGGCCTCTCTTGCAAGGTTTAATTCCAAAAAAGCCTTAGCTTTCCTAATTGTCTCCCTACATCCTCTGATAACAGTCTTATATTCCTCCCACGTAACCAGCCCCTCCTTCCATGATCTGCAAACTCTCTTCTTCCACTTAAGTTTGCCCAGCAGCTCCCTCTAACCATGTGGCTGTCCTGACTCCACTTCCTAATGTCCTATCCATTGGGATGCTCTGATCTTGAGCCGGGAAGAAGTGGCCCTTGAACGTTAAGCAACTATGCTGGGCCCCTTTACCTTCTAGTACCCGGTACCATGGGATTTCCCCTAGCACAAGATCCTGAGCTCCACCATTTCATGGCTGCTGCAGCCAAGGCTGCCCTCAAGCTTCACTGCTTTGACCATGTCCTCCTTGTTAGTGAGTATAAGATCCAGCAGTACGCCACTCTTTGTTAGCTCATCCACCATTTGTATCCAATAAGTTATTAAAGCACTGGAGGAACCTCCTGGACTGTGACTGGCGGGTGGAGTAGGCTCTCCAACAAATAGTTGGGTAGTTAAAATCTCCCAGGAGAACCAGGGCCTGTGATTGTGAGGCTTCTTTCAGCTGCCTGTAGAAAGCCTCATCAACTTCCTAATTCTGATCAGGTGGCCTGTAACAGACACCCACAACAGTATCACCCATGCTAGCCCATCCCTTAATTTGCACCCACAAACTCTCAACTCAATCTTCATCCACCCCTGGACAGAGCTCTATATATTCTAGTTGCTCTCTCACATAAAGAGCAACCCCATCACCTCACCTTGTTGGTCTATCTTTCCTAAAAACGTTACAGCCATCTATGACCACATTCCAGGCATGGAAGCTGTCCCACCACATCTCTCTGGGTGGCATCCCTTCCCTTCAGTGTGTCAACCACACCACACAGCTTGGGCTCATCAGCAAACCTGCTGAGAGTGCACTCAATACCACTGTCCATGTCACCAACAAAGATGTTAAACAGCCCTGGTCCTGGTACTGATCCCTGAGGAACACCACTCATCACTAATCTCCTCTTGGACATCAAGCCATTGACCAAATTCTTTTGAGTGTGGCCATCCAGCCAATTCCTTATCCACAGAGTGGTCCATCCATTAAATTCATATCTTCCCAATTTTAAGACCAGGATGTCATGCCTGACAGTGTCTAATGCTTTGCATAAGTCCAGGTAGATGACGTCAGTTGCTCTCCCCTTATCCACCAACACTCTAATCTCATCACAGAAGGCCACTGAATTTGTCAGGCATGATTCACCCTTAGTGAAGCCATGCTGGCTGTCATCAATTACCTCTTTATTTTCTGTTCCACGATCTTCCTGGGCACAAAGGTGAGACTGACAGGCCTGCTGTTCCCCAGGTCTTTTTTTCCTTTTTAAAAATGGGGGTTATGTTTTCCCTTTTCCAGTCAGGGGGAACTTCAAAAATAATTGAGAATGATCTTGTAATGAGAGCAGCCATCACTCTCAGCACTTGTAAGGGTATCCATTAGGCCCCATAGAGTTGTTCAGTTTGCTTAAATATTACCTAACCCGATCCTCCTCCATCAAATGCAAGTCTTCCTTGCTTTGGAATGTAATGATTTCAGGAATCTGACATTCCTGAAGGCTCATCTTACCACTAAAGACTAAGGCAAAGAAGGCTATAGCCTTTTTAATGTCATTTGTCACCATGTTTCTTGCCCCATTTAGCATCAGGCCCTCTTTTTCCCTAATCTTCCTGTTACAAGAAACAGGGCAGCTTTCTTGCTACCCTTCACATACTTCACTAGGATCAACTCCAGATAGACTCTAGCTTTTCTAACCCCATCATGCATTACTAGAGCTCGGAAAAGACAATTCTTGAAAATCAGCCAGTTCCCTTGGACCCCATTTTCTCCAGGGCCATATTCTATCCAGTTCTTCCAAGCACATTACCTGTGCCCTCCTCTATTGCCTTTTCAAAAGGTACGGATTATATGGCTTAAAACTGTTACAGTCTCTTCTTTCATCACTACCACTTCTTCAACCATAGCGTGCTAATTCACTCAAAGCATTTTAGAAATGTCATACAATACGATAGTACTAGTTAACTCCAATTTAATCTATTTTATATCTCTCATTTTAACGTAATAGTCCTGTCTTGTGATTTACACTTTAACTTTCTAAATCCACCTGTACCAAGCAGTTTGGTTCTTGATCTGAGCCTCTGCACTTATTAAATTGTGTGTCTAGTTCTTACTATTTCTACCTGGTACTCAGTTTTTTTCCAAATTGTACTGCATCTAGAGGCAAAGCTGCAACAATCCATGATTTTATAGATCAGGCTAGGGTACATTGAACTAAAATAATAGAACAACTTTTTTAAAAAGAAACTTTGTCACAGAAGCACATACAAACATATTAAACATTTTCAAACATTTCTTCTAGGAAAATAAAAGTTTTAAGAAAAATAATGCAAATGTAACCCAGTTTAGACTAAAGGAAACAAGACACCAAACACAGTTTATAATGGAAACAAAATGAAAGTTTAACTACCACAAAATCTATAGGTGCAGGTGGTAAGCACAACATCAAAACACACATACAGTAAAAAGGAAAACAATTCAGTACTAAACCAGTATTTCTTACCTGGCAAAGAAGAATTTATACAACCCCAGACTTCTCCCTGAAAAGTAAAATGCAATTAAACAAAAGTAATTTTACAGAATAAGAGAGTTTCTAGCAGACATAAAACAGCTTTTTCAGCATTTTGCCCTGGGTTTTAAATACCCTATTAGAAGAATTCTTATGTCTAAAACATCTTTTGAAGAAGTGCTACATGATATACATTGAGTACCACTTGCTTTGACAAGAAGGCTGCCATTTACAGAGCATATAAAATCAATATACTGTGATTACCTGGAGCACACTCACTAGTCGGCTTTTGCCACTTCGTGTTTAAAGAACTAAGTAGCAACTGTTTTAGGCAAAGATTGATTTCTCTAGGTCCAAGATCTGTGGAGAAGCTTATTGATCTATGTGACATTTGAGATATGTGATGCTCAAACACTCCAAGAGATAAACAGTGTATTCAGACACTCAGGGTGTCTAGTATTTATCTTGAGACATCTAGGAGTGTTCCACGAATAACTCCTGCTTAAAACAGGTATCTTGGCTAATCACTGAGCAGTTTTACTCAGCAAGCCCCCACAATGTATCTACAATGTGGCAAATGCCACAGACAACTGCAAAACAGGGATTTTGGTGTGGGATGTGCTGAGACTGTAGACAGAGGCTTACAACTGGTGCCACAGCCAGCCCTAAGCAAGGAGACAATAACCACGCCTTGAACTAAATAGGAGACTCAAAGAGTGTTCCAAGTAAATCACCAACTTGGCAGAAAAAGATACTCATAACTGGACCAAACAAATGCACAGGGTGATAAATAATTTTTGGTACACATGGACAGTGATTAGGTGACTACCATAACGTATCCCAGGAATCAGCGGTATAAAAGAAAAGAGTATCAGTCTCAAGACACCTCCTAAGGCCAGATCTCCATCCCCGCTCTATTATGAGACCAAGAGGACACTGGTGGAGCTCTGGGTGGTGACTTCCCTTTAACTCTTTTATTTATTTCCTGGTCTTTATCTTTTGTAGTTTAGGGCTAGTTATCACATCTATTATAAGCTTATGACAAACACATAGTTTTAACTCTTACCAGCTGTTCTGTACTTAAATAAAAGCCTATCTGTGCACTCGATACTGTATTATCTTTGTTTTGCCCTAGGGGGATTTTGAACGATCCTGCTTATGGCATTGTGACACCCTAGTACTCCTTTCAACTATCTCAAACCCCACCCCCCCCCAACACATACAACCACACACAAAAAGATTTTAAGGTGCCCCAGAGACAAGAGAAACATAGTTTCAGGGAAAGGTAGATACATGGAAGAAGAGAGTTGTATAAGTGAAGTTTACTAACATGTAAAGTTACAAGAAGGATTTGTTTGGTTCGCCCAAATAGCAAAGCACTTCTGGTTCTAAGAACAGGTTCTGTTAAATGAACTAAGGGGCTGACGGTATAAGGCAGAAGAATCCTGTACATTATTTTCATTTATTTAATTATTTATTTTTTCCCCAGGAAAAAAAAAAGAAAAAGGTGAAGAGCTTAATAAAGAATTGCCGTCCCTATCTCCCTCATTACTGTTCTTACTGAGACTACTAGCCAAGCTAATAAAGGGCATTCTTTACACTGGATCACACACTGGTCTGCCACCCACCCTATAAAAATTACAAATGTTGTTGAAGGAGGTGTGGAAATTCCACATAAGGTATGAATTTTATCTCAACTGTCAAAAACTGTCAATCTGGCCTTGACAACTTCCCCTAGTTTAGTCTGTTTTGCCTGTGATGGTAATTGCTGAGCAATTTCAAACCAGGAGCCTTTTGTCCTATTTTCTCTCCTCTGTCCAGCTAAGGAGGGATAGAGTGGCTTGGTGGACACCTAGCATGCAGCCAAGGTTAAACCCCCACAAGGGGCTTTAAGTGGAAGAGTGCTGAACATGTTCTTTAAAACAAAATGAACAGTTCAATTTAATCACACTGAAACAGCAACCTGTTTTGTCATGCAATGATTCTGTCTTCACAAGAATCAATTACTTTCTAAATTTGCAATGGATCTGTATCTAATGATCTGAAACTGTTCTCTTCTGCATCCATGTGAGTTTTCCACTTAGGTAAGAGTCAAAGTCAGCCCAAAAGAAAAGGCTAAAAAGTTGCTACTTCTACTATCTCCACCTCATTGAATCAAATAACTACCTTTATTTCATGAGAAAGTTAATGGTTGTATTCAGAAATCTTAAGAGTCTTTTCCAACCTAAAGGATTCTATGATTCTAAGATAAAGTCACCTCTTATGTTGGCAGTTACTGTATTACTTAATACCAGGGAATACCCTTTCTATCAGATAACCCAAAAAAATACAGACAACATCCATAACTAATGCTCCAGAAAATAGACCATGTGATTAAAGTCCTAACCTATGTGCCCATCTGTGAAATGTCACTAGACAAAGACAGGTAGTATTTGAAAACAGCAAATATGATATTAAGCTGAACTGTAGTTTAAAAACTGGAGTTTAAAAAATCATGTCAATCATTTTCCCCCTTTCAGGTACTCTCCAGTCCCGACTTCTAAAAATGCACTCCTCTTCTACACAGATAGATTCTACCCTTTCTATCAGGAAATAAAAGATAAAGAAAACCAATAACAAAACAAATGCTATTCACCATTTTGATATATTTTCATACCACAGATTTTACTCATACCCATAGTCATACTCATACCTAAAGTCTATAGCTTTCCAAGACACTAGAGCTGGTGATAAACAGGAACAAAACACTGAAAAAACATAATTTTGACACATAGGAGAAAAGGATCCACAGGCAAACACACGCTTGCAAAGTTGCTTATAAAATGTTTTTCTCAGGTTTACTATTCATACACATTGCCTTTTTTTGCCAAGTGTATGTTTTAGGTTATCTGGAAGCAGTATTTATACTGTTTAGAAGTAACAAAAATTGGAAGAGGAAAGCAGACCTTTATGACAGCAAATGTGTTAAGATATTAAGTTGCCAAGAGATACAAATCCAGAATTTACAGTCTGAATAACAGTGCTTCTCTCTTCCCTCAGTAGATCATCTCTAAATACACTGGAGAACTTTAAAGAAACAATTACCTTACTTATCCAATAAAAGCATTACTCCAGTTTGTTACGGTCATAAACCATTCCGAACAGCTATGGGGACTTCCTTGCCTTAGCCCAACCAAGACATCACAGCTTTGTGCCACACATGGCATGATCTAATTTAAGTCGCAGCCATCAACATCTACATAACAATCACCCAGTACACTTTTTTGCAACAGATGACGGATTTTCATTCCATTTCATAGCTTACATAACAAGGACTCTTAGCAAAATTGTCAAGTCACATCTTAGTGCAAGTAGTGTAACATATGATGGCTTTCTAAAAAAAAATAAAAATCCTACTTTGAGGATCAAATCTCATTACAAAAATTCTTCTAGCCCTCTTAACAGGGAAGAAAAAGCTCAAACACATGCACATTCTACCAGCTCAAAACTCAGTGAGGAAATAAAACAGAAATAATTTTAAAACCATATTTCACAAGGAAAACTTTGTTAATGTAAGATTGGTTCATTTTCTTTAATTAAAAACTAGCAAGCCTTACCATTGTTCCTGGACAATACTCAGGTGCTCGCTGCAGTAAGTGCTTCAAACGGGAATCACTCTTAGAAGACAAAATCTGCAAGAAATAAAACACACCTTGAAACATATAGCATGTAGCTACACACTGAATGTCTTTTTCAATCAATTTCATAATTTTTAGTTTCACCACTGCTTTGACAACATTGGCTAACAGTCCTTCCAGTATGTTATGCTTTTTATGAAGAATAAATTTTTGTATTTAGGAGTGAATGAAGATTTCCTCCTCAAACACTTCAATCAAAAAGTTTCTATTTGAATAGACAGTGTGAAAAACTTTCAGGATTTCTGCCCCACATATCAAAACGTTATACAACTATGTTTACTTAATTAACCTTCTGCTACGTTACATGACATCAGGCAACTAAACTCCTTCCAAAAAAACCTGAAATAAGCAAGTTTTATGGAACAATGATGAACAAAACCTAGAATAATTAAAGAGACTATAAAAAACTACCTATGAAAACTACCCGCAGCAGAGCGTGATCAGGTTAATCACCACCTAAGCAAACTGAAAATCTGGAAGTTTGTAAGACTGGATGGGATGCAACTGAGGATGTTGAAAAGCTAGACACTGCAAGGCAGCTTTGCTACCATTTTTGAAGGATCATAGTGACTGGATGAGGTTCCTGATGATCAAAAAAAGACAAACATTATATCCATTCAAAAGGCAAGAAAGAGAATTATAGGAAATTACATTAAATTACATGAAAATGAATTAGGGAACAGGAAAGACAAGACTGTGACTAAAAGCAGGTCAGTATAGGCATATGAATTTAGCCTGATACATTTCCATGATGAAAAGACTAGTTTAGAGAAAACTGGAGAACACCGTATGTTGTCTACATCGACAAGGTTTTTGCATGGTCTTCTACTGTATCTATATAGCCAACCTGGTGAAACATGGATGGGATGGGTGGGTGACAAACTCTCTGGACAGTAGGTCTCAGAGATTAGCAGTCAGCTCAATGTGTAAGCCACTTCGAAGTGGTGTAATACAGGAGTCAAATAAATACTGTAAATGGCTTTACTAGCAAGCCAGACAATGGGACAGAAACAATGCTCAGCAGGTATGCAGGTAAGTTTAAACCGGGAGCTGTCATTAACATAGCGGAGAGTGGAGCTGTCAGTCAGATTGGTTTCAATGGGCTGGTGGGCAACTCAAGCAATTCAACAAAGGAAAACACAGAATCTTGCAGCTGAAATGGAATAACCTCATGCAACAGTACAGGCTGGGTTTTCAATGGCTAGGAACCAGCTTTGCAGAAAAAGGGTTTGGGTCCTGGTGGATACCAAGTTGAAGGGGAGCCAGCAGTTCACTGGTACAACACTGAAAGCCAACAGCATGCTGCACTGAACTAGGAACAGCACTGCCAGCAGGTTAAAGGAAGATGATCATGCTTTTCTACGAGGCACTAATGAGGCCACATCTGTAATACCAGATCTACATTTGTACCACCCCTGAGCTAGGAATGTTATTGATGAACTGCAGAGAGTCCAGTAGAAAGCCACAAAAGATGCTGGACTTTCCAACATACCAAGACGGGCTGAGGTAAAATAAACCCTTTATCAGTTTGAAGAGGTAAGAGGGAGCAGAAAAGAACAAAATTCTTGTCTTCCAGTACCTGAAGACGGATTACCAAACAGACAAGTCAGACTGTTCTCAGAGTAACATAGGGATTTCCTTATCCTTCATTACAGGAGACCTGTGATGCCTCTTCAGGCCCAGGGCATCTCTTACTTGAATTGGCTTCAAAGGGGTGGGTGCGGGATGGACTGAGGATTCCCTCCCCCACCAACTCTATTTTAAAGCCCTCATTACGAGACTGGCAAGCCTATTGCCAAAGATACTCACCCCCTTCCCTAAAAGACGAACTCCATAAGCCTCTAGCAGACCAGGTTTCTCAAAGTGAGTCCCATGGTCTAGGAAACCAAGGCCCTGGCTGTGGCACCACTCCTGTAACCATTTATTGATTTTACCAGTGCAATTTGCCTTTTCAAGCACATTCTCTTTGGCCAGTGGGATCAATGAAAAGACTGTCTGTGCTCCTGAGTCCCTCACTGCTTCTCTCAGGGCTCTGTAATCTTCCTTCATAGTCTTCAGAGTACTCCTTTCTGTGTCATTGGAACACATATTAAATAGCAGGAGTGGATAGTAGTCAGTGGGATGTACAAGCTCGCATAGTCTTTCAGTGACGTTCCTCATGTGCCCATCTAGCAAGTAATAAACCTCTCTGGAGAGTTGGTCTGGCAAGCCAACGGATGCCTCTGTACCTTTCAGATGAGAGTCTCCCATCACTATCACTCATCACTTCCTCTTGTTTGCACTTGTCAATATATGATGAGATGGCTGAACTGTCTTGTTTGGCTCCAGCAACTTGCCTGATGCCACCTGGCTTTCATCCTGTCAAGTCTACAGAACCGTGAAGCAGTTTTGCAGGGGCACCTTGGATTTTGTGGGAAACCTCTTCTTCCTGCTGTTTTGTCAATCTTTGGAAACTTCCATTGTTCTTCTTTCTTGACCTCACTCCTTTCTCTGCATGCTGGTGGAGTATTTATTGGCTGTGTGACCTCAGACTGTGGTTTCACTGCAGCCTAGGCCTGGATTCAGCTCTTTCCTTTTCTAGCTCCCTGAAGTTACACAGCCTTTACAGTTTCCTTCAGCTCAGACTCCTGCTGCAAGAGGTCCTCCACCTAAGCACACCCGATGCGTGACGGTTTCCAATTTAACCCTGCCCCATGCATGAGGTCCAGGCACTTCCCACAGCCTGTGGTCGCTACAGCAGCCTCTGCCTTCAACAGAATCCCTCACCACTCATCTTAGTGCTCTAAAGTATCTTTTGACTGATCTTAGACTGCAAGTCTCAGCTTGCTCTTCACCTATATAATGAGTAATAATCTGAGGACTGTACTAAACTAGGAAGTTTCCTAGTGACATCCTTAACCTGGCCTCCAGGGAGACAGCACACTTCTCTGCTAGGAGGGTCTACCCAGCATATCAGACCCTCTGTTCCCTTCATAAGGGAGTCACCTACAACTACAACCCTTCTTTTCTTCCTTGTGGATATTGTTGTAATGTGGACAGTAGGTCTGACTGTGGACATACCTCTGTCGTAGGCTGCCCAACGTCCACATCTTCATTTGGCTGGTCTTTCTCAACCAGAGCCTCATATCTGTTTTTCAGTGGCACTTGGGGCGGTGAGATGGGCAAGGAACAAGTTCATTTGTTGCCACGACCATGAACTTGTTTCCATTCACTCCCCTCATCCAGGCTACTGCATCAGGGTTGGCAATGGCATGATACAGGGGCTCCCCGATCCTGCATACTTTCTGATGGGTGCTCCCATTTCTGTTTCAAAGAGGGCAGAGCCTGGCTCCACCAGTCTCTCATCCACCTGCTTGCAGCAGCACACACAGCAGTTGTCATAATTGTCACTTGTCAGCAAAAGGCTCAGACACTCCCTGCAGGCCATGACCTGCACAGGTGTACGTTTCCATGGATTCTCTGTCTGGGTTTCCACATCCACCCTGACTGGTGCAGAGTGCACAGCCTTCTGCCAGGTGGAGGCCACAGTAGATGTCTAAGAGGCTGACAACCACCAATAGGGCTCACCTGTCAAGCAGGCAGTGCTGATGCTCCTCCCCTCATGCTCACTCATGTGCCCAGCTCCCTCTGCACTGGCCGCTTTTAAATCTGCTACGGCTCCCCTGGCATGTCCCCAATCATGTGTCAGCCTCTTGGCCAATTCCCAACTCATTTCAGGTCTTGGGTCTTGCTGCTCTCCCTCAGGAACCTCCCTGCATGTCTTGATCTAGCTCAATTTTTAAAGGCATAGCACTTACTGCTGTCACTGCCTCTCTTCCACTAAGATTGTAAACTCTTCCTTCCAGCTTGGTATTTCCTGAAGAGTGGAATGTTGCCTCCTCCAGGTCAGAGGACTAGGAGACCTTGTTAACAAAGACTAAGGAAAGAAGCCATTCAGCACCTCTGCCTTATTGACATTTGCTGACACTACATCATGTACTGCATTCAACAACAGTTGCCCATTTTTACTTCTTCAGCCTTTAACTACTGCCATAGCATGTCCTGTTGCCCTTGACATGCTGAACAAGTCTCAACTCTAGCTAAGCTTTGTCTTTTCCAATATAACCTTACAGGCCTGGGCAAATTTCTAGATTTCTTTTATAACCTTTCCCTGCTTCTGCCTTCTCTGTACTACCTTTCTGCATTGACACTTGTTCATTACCTCTTTGTTTAGCCAAGCCAGCCCCTTGAAACATTAAAGTGTTCTCCTGGGGACTGGGACGGACTGTTCCTATGCGTGGAGGAGGATCTGGATAGAGATCTCTGGAGTGGTATAAAAATCAGTAAGTGGACAGCCTCTTCAGACAGCTTGTTAGCCTCTATCAAAGAATCATTCAACAAAAGATGCCACCAGCCTGATGTGAGTTAACTAAGACAGCTCTTTACAGAATAATCTGAGGGTGCCAGTCTTGCTTTAGACAAAAAAAAAAAAAAAAGAAAAGAGGGCAGGTATGATGTAAGGACACAATTTTTATATTAACATTGTGTATGTATGCTTTACTGATGTAAATTTTTTGTGTATATAAATGTATATAAAGACACAAACAAGGCTGTACCATGTAGTCTCCAAAGGTATAAATCCACATATAAGTTGTGAAAAAAATGTATTCCAAACTTGACTTTTCAATCTTTGTTATTACCTTATGCACAGAGTAAGTAAGGAGATTCACAAAGATAGATATATATAGATATATAGATAGATAGATATCATAATGAGTAGCTCACCTGCAGTTCTCAGAAACAAGAACTGGCAGGTAGAAAGAACAGCATCAACATCTTGTTCTTCATTTTAAATTCCCAAAAACTTGGATACAGAAGATACAGAAATTGGGCAAAATACCTTCACCCCTCATTTCCTAACATACTTATCTCTTCTTGATCAAATTCTGACCTTACCTTTATATCTCTTTTTCTCCTCAACTTAAGCAGAACCTGTTTTCCGTGGAAGGAAAGGTGACTACACTTTTAAACATGTAAGTTCTCATTTAAATAACAATAATATTACCTCTCATGATTCACACATCGTATTCAAACAGAAAATAATTTGCTTATATCCCTAATCTTGCTACATCATTCTCTAAAGGCATGACTTTATCTCCAAGGGATAAAACAAATTTAAAACAAGCTTACCTGTTCACAGACATCACGGCACATTAAGTTGTCCTTTGCATGGTAACAACAAGACAAGCCTATGGAAAAGCAGAGGGAGGAGAAAAAAGATATTTAAAAGACCTGAAATGCTTAACTATCAATTCTGAACAGAAGAGCCCTGGTCCACAGATGATAGCAAGAAATTTTCCTTCCCAGAAGGCAAAAAAAAACATGAGAAAATTCTGTTATAAAGCTGACACAGATCAGTTCAAGTCTCACAGAATTACCCCTGAACACTCACTGCCTCCAAAAGAAGATCTCACTGCCCATGCTTCTGCTTCTCATCACATTTCTGCTTCTTAACTTGCACTAGCTTGGCACTGCAATATTCCTTTGTGGAGAAATTCAAATTATTAGCCCAAGGGGAGGGGGGGGAGGAAGAAAGGATAGAATAATAAAAAGTGAACAAAAAAACCCAGCAAAAACTCGAGACTATATGCTTTTGTAAACTGAATCATCTCACAGAATCTGAAAAGTTCAGGAACCAGTTAGGAACAGGTGGAAAAGGAAATTAAAGCAGGAACCCCTTTTCTCAAAGAGGTGACAACACAGCTGCACGCTGAACTCGGACTTCCTAAAAACTTGGAATAAATCGTGAATTGTTTCACTCGTGATGGGTGATTTTGCCCAACTAGATGGAAGCCATAGAGTTCACAGATATGAACGCATCAACAGGAACACAACAGAGAACTGAAGCACTGACATGAGACATCAAGTTTAAAGCCGCTTTTTTAACACCATACTTTGTTGTGCTTTGTTTTCGCTACCATTCAAATGTTTCCTTCATTCAGGACTAAGCTTGGCCAACATAAAATTAATTGCACAACTTCTTGAGAATAATTTTCATCCTCACTGCCCAGTGTTTGGAACAGTGTACTAAAAACAGAGAGGCTTCCTTCAAACCTTTTAATTCCATGCACACCTTCACACTCAAGTTCATTTCATGATTACAGATTTCTGCTCAACTGTACCTGAGCTACATATCAGACCGATACAACATAAAAGCAATCCTGTACGATACCACACACATGAAGCTGCATTTCATGGTACCTAGTTACTAAATAGATTCTGACAGAACCAATAAAAAGGATCTTAGGCACGAATTCCTCAATAATTTCACAGCTTACAAGTGCTTTCACCTGAAAGGTTATCGTTATTACAAGGAGATAACCAATAAAAAAACCCTCCCAAACAATTCTATCACCACCAAATCCAAAATTCTCCAATATTGAAATGATATTTAAAAAGAAAATTTCAGATTGAAAATACAGAGAAACTGGAAAAAAAGTCAAAAAAACACCCAAAACCACAGAAAAGATGGTCTGAAACATTCACAAATTAAAACAGCTATTACAAGCTTGAACTATATTTTAATGCAGAAATCTACATCCCTGAAGAGGAAGTTTTTTTTGGTCAACTTTCTACCATTGCAGAAAAGGACCAAGGTATGACACAGGTGACAGATGGCTTGGAAATCTTTCTGATTTGAGGGATATCAATGGGATCTTCCATGTTTTCCTACTATGCTCAGTAAGCTGACCTGTGCTGAGAACCAACTTCATCATTAGCAGGCTTCACCATGTTCCAACTTCAGTTATGAGTTCACTTAACTGAAAAGCTTTGCTTTACACTTTATTAGTTTTGTTATAAAGCCAAGGTATTAGAAATACATCATACCAATAAAAAAACATTCACTTTTAGAAACAGTGTTTCTCTAGGCAAGGATTGCACTTATTTTCATAAATGTTTCTAAATGTCAGTGTGTAATGCAATCAAACTGCAAGCACATTAATACAGTGCTGGAGAAAACATTAAACTTCACAATCAAAACACATCCAGCAAATTAACTGTTGTAAGTAAAAAAAAAAAATAATCCAAACCAACATACCTAAACACAGGCTTTACTTACAAACAGGAACACCGGCTACTCAATGTTGGTTTTCTTGTTTTGTTTCACTGTAATCTCCTGAAAGTCTTCATTATATGCATTTTTATTGAGAGTAACTGCTACATTTCAGATACCCAAGAATTCAGAGTTAGCAATCTATAAAGCAGATTTGGTGACAATGCATCACTTGAGTTCCTGAGTATCTTAGGCAACGCTTAATTAAACATTCATTCTTATTTAATACTTTGTGGCCTTTTATTCATTAGTTGTCAGTGGTTTTCAGCCTCCCTGTGATTAACCAACGCACATCCAGGAATGTTCTCCTTCTCAAATCACTTACACTGCGGAGTTTCAAGTCTTATAAACTATACCAAAGCGTTCTGATTTATTTTTTTTTGGTAATTTAATTCCTTTTACACAAAACTCTAACAGATCCGTGCAACCTGGAATTAGCGAGACATGAAACCGGCCCAGAGCGGCCTTCGAGTGCTTAAGTCAGAAATGGCAGTTACTAACGAGATCCATCCAAAAACCAAACCCCTCCGTACCCGGAATTCCCAGACAGGCCCTGGAAACGCTCGGGCCCCGCGCCATGTTGCTGAGGCGGGAGCCGCCCCCCCCC